CTTTTATTCTCATTCGATCCCGTATATAGGCAACCAATAACACAATGTATCGTTTTTTGTTTGTAATTGATATACTAACAATCGATTTTTGTATAAAACTATGCAATATTTCTGTACTTTATTGAAGATCAGAAGTAATTTTTCAAAATCTTGACAAACTTACCAATAAATATAAAAATTGCCCTTGAATGATCAGAAAATTTATCACTTTTTTTACTTAACATGTTTAAATAAAATATAAATGACTTTTTTGGAAAATCTGCTTCAAAAAGACTAACATTGCTTATGTTAATTCAGTGTGGTCCCTCCAAAATCCGGATTAAACTGCATATTTTTATTCCCGACATATTTATAACACGTATCCGCATGAATACAAAGCTTTTATTGCATTTCATCCTCTTATATTCAACAAGAGGCCAAAACAAACGAAATTTTTAAGTCAGACGTAAAAATATGTTACCGGTTGCCTATATTCGGGAGCGCACTAACAGCTGGCCTATCTGTCAAACGTCAAAACGTCGTCGACCGTTTAAATATCTATATTTAAGCAAAAAATTCGATAGAAACCAGCTCTACATTGAATATATTCCATATTATTTAGTAACACTGCTATAAAAATATCTCGTTATGACCCCGTGGCGTTTTGAGTGCTGATATCAAATCGGTTATACAATATTTAACTAAAAAAACAGCTGAAACGTGTTTTGGGGAACGACGCAAGGGTCTCTTCGTTTTTTTAAAGACAAGTGACAATGTTTTGAACGTTGTAAAACATTAGCCCCTATTTTTTGTCAATCTTGTCATTTTTTGACATATTTTGACAATTATGACACAATTTCATATAAAAAATTTTTGATAATGAAAATCACCTTCATATTGTCATTTACTGTACGTATCGCAATATTTGTCTATTGTACAATTTTTCAAGTGCCCCCCCCCCCTCCGCAGTGTTAAATTTGCCTATCCTTGTCCCGTTATAATTTTTCCTATAACTATATACAATTTTTATTTATATACTAATATAATTGCAAATTTTAAAGCACCATTAACCTTTCTATACCAAAAAAACTCCATCGAGGATTTAAAACACTTTTGTTAATTTTTATAGGTTAGGTTAGCTTAATTCCTGTAGGTTTGTGCGTTGGTTTGACGATTTATTAAAAAAAAAACGATTGTAGAAAATTTGATTTTGATTTTTGATCATTAAATACATTCAGTCGGATTGAAACGAACTTATCGAAGGGTTAAATACATAGTTTTCTATTAAAACAAACTATGGTTGCGAGTTTTGGATCACCCTGTACACTAAATACATAAAATCAAAAATTTTAAATCATCTCGCACTAAGTAGTGAATCTTGGGGTGTTCAAAATTTTAAAACTTGTTTAAAAAATATTTCTTTGACACTGTTTTCCGTCTTTCCTTCCCTAACACAAATGTTTGGAATATAAGTTAATTAGCTTTCTTTAAAACATTCCAAAACGAAAATGATTTGAGACTCCCAGCAATTGGAGAAAGAAAAACATGACAAAGGCAGAGTAATAATGCGGATAATGAAGAAAATGGAAAAAAGAGAAAGAAGATCAGTATAAAGATGCAGAAATAATGTACAAAATGGAAAAAATGGAAGGAAATCACAATAGAACGAATGAAAAAATGATAGAACCAGGAAAAGGAAAACGACAAAGACGTAAGCAATAAATTTAAAGATTTACAAAACATAAAGGTCGAAGATTGAATGAAAATGCAAAAAATGGTAGAAAATGGACAGAAGAAAAAGGTGACAGAACAAAAATGTAAAAATATTGTTAGTGAAAATTTAGACAGCATAAAGGAAGCCAAAAGATAGAAGAATGGACAGTATGGAAGAAAATGGAAAGAAGCAAAGGAGAAGAACACAAATATGGAATCATAATTACTTAAAAGATAGAAGGAAAAAAGATTCAAACACCTCAATCCATTCAAATTTCACAAACGTCCTCAGAATAGAATAAAATAAAACGAAAAATTTGGAAACTCTGAAAATTATACTAATGATGTGCAGAATGGAAAAAATGACGAAGAAATCACTAAAAAAATTATTATAATTATTTATATTATTATTATTATAAAAATTATCTAATAAAATGGAAAAGTAAACCAATAAAACGGTTTACTTTTTGATGAAATAATTACAAAAATTGTCTAATAAAGAAAAAATTGAAGAAAATGGAAAAAAGGTGAAGAAATCGCTAGACAAATTGTCTAATTACAAAGAAATTGAAGAAAATTGGAAAAATTAAAATAAATCACTATAAAAATTGTCTAATAAAAGAAAAATTAAAAACAGAAAGACGAAAAAGGTAAATCGCAACAAAGATTTACTAATTTTGAAGAAATTGAAAAAAAATGGAAAAAGTTCAAGAAATTGCAAAGAAAATTGGAGAAGTTGAAGACAGTGGAAAAAATAGAGAAAAAAACAACTGCAAAAATTATCATTGAAGAAAATGTAAAAGAGCAACAGGAAACCATTACAAAAATGCTTCAATTATGAAAAAATTTAAGAAAATTAAAAAAGAGGCAAGAAATCACTAAAAATATTAGCAAACAATTGAGAAATTAGAGAGAATGGAAAAAAATCAGTGATTGACATGCAGAAAGAAAAAAATCACTACAAAAATTATCTAGTAAGAAAAATATTGCAGAAAATGGAAAAAACCCAACAGGAAACCATTACAAAAATGCTTTGATTCTGAAGAAATTAAAGAACATGGAAAAAAGGGCAAGTAATTAACTAAAAAATGATCTAATAATGGAGAAATTAAAGAGAATGAAAAAAAAATCAGTGATTATGACCGAGACAGAAAAATATCACTACAAAAATTATTTAATAATGAAAATTTTGAAGAAAATGGAAAGAAAGCAACATAAATGCTTAAATTCTGAAGAAATTTGGGAAAATAGAAAAGGAGACAAGAAATCACCAAAAATATTAGCTAAAAATGGAATAATTAAAGAGTATGGAAAAAAATCAGTGATTGTCACCGAGAAAGAAAAAAATCACTAAAAAAATTGTTTAATAATTAAGATATTGAAGAAAATGGAAAAAAGAAACACTGAACCATTACAAAAATGCTTTGATTCTGAGACAACTGGAAAAAATGAGAAAAAACACTACAACAAATATCTAATAATGAAGATACTGAAGAAAATGGAAAAAAGACATGGAATCATTACAAATATCGTTTAATAAATGTAAAAATTAAAGAAAATAAATACAAGGAGAAAAAATCACTACAAAAAATGTCTAATAATAAAATTATTGACGAAAATGGAAAAAGGAAGAGCAAATATTACAAAAATGCTTTGATACTGAAGAAATTCAAGAAAATGGAAAGAAGGTGACAAAATCATTACAAAAATTGTCTAATAATGGAGAATTGAAAGAAAATAAAAATATTAAATAGAAATCTCGACAAAAACGTGAAGAAATGAAAGAAAATCAAAATATAAATCACCACAAATACGGTGTAATAATGGAGAAACTGAGGAAAATGGAAAAATAGGGTCGCCGATGACGTACTAGTGTAGAGAATAGATTGGAAATAAACATTTTTGACTTTACGATAAAACCTTTAAAACTACCTTCTACCAAATAGTAGAATATTTGAAAATAGTTTTGCAATATATAGCTGTATCATATCTCTTTCTGTACTTCCCCAACCTTCATAAGACAAAAAAATAAAATTCCAAAAAGTTTATCACTCTGTATAGTCCGTAATTGTCCATATAATCATTTGGGGTTTTTATATTCTCCAAAATAGTTTATTTCTTTCTTCAAAAGATCCCAAAACCTCAATTATTTGGCAGTCTCTCAGCAATTGGAGGAAAGTCAATAACTATATTTGTTTTGTTGGCACTATTCACTATGATATACATCAACTGCTTCGCAATATTTGTTTTTGATGGTATAGTCGACTCCGATGATATCTTTGGTCGTGAAATATTTTAAACTGTACTAATATCGACCAGTCTACTCGAAGATTCCGACTGAGTGATTAAATTACTAATTTACGATGAGTAATCAGTAATTACACGCGTTGATCTTTGATAGACCGGACGGTATATCTCCGGAGCCAACTTGTCAAGGTTTTCGACGTCTAAGTTTCTTTCGGTAACAAAGTAGACTAGAATTTTGTCGTCTATGACCTATTTGGTCCTTTGATTGCATCAAATTTTAATCTAAGCTAAAATCTAAGACGGTACTAGGTAGTTTCTGGATTTACAGCTCGTTAGAACATTTAGGTTAAATTAGGTTATGTTTTAACGACTTAAACTAACATAACCTGTTCTCCCACAGCTTGGTCTTTGTTTATTGTCGTTCAAAAATGACGATAGATAAAAAGGAGTCTATAAGACCCCTCTGAACATTATTGGGTCGCCTTTGGCAATGGCAAAAACAGACAAATCTTTTGGAAGAGAGGTAATTCAAAATCACGACAAATATGCCCGGAAATTTATCACAAGAAAGTCAAAACTCCTTGATAAGTACTTAGAATACGATCATAAATGTCTTATCTAAAAGAACAAGAAGAGATTGACTTAGAAGACTAATTTAGGCAGTGAATTTAACAAGGAGATGATGATTTTTAGATAAATTAATTTTTATCAGAGCCTTCTACGTTTTCTTCATCTCCTTTAAACGGAAAACCTATAAAACGCGTATTTTATACTAAAAATATCAACATTTCTAGTTTGTTTAATATTATTTAAGATTTTCTTTCATTGTTACGAAAGAATCTTCGAAAAACAATAAAAATGTCGTTCCAAGGCACTTGAAAAATCGTCAACATGTCACTTGTCATCGACGAAACCTCAAAAAGGTGAACGAAATAACGTTAGACCGTCATCGTCGGTTCCCCGGATTGAACAATACGTATCCGAATTCGAAAAGAGAGAAATGGCCTGCTAACAAGGTCCCTACAAGTACATATCACAACACTAACGAGAAGAAGCGTGCATCACTTAAGGTAGGACTTGTACAAGATGCGACTCTTGCAGAGGTCCTTCTCTGTCTCGAACAGGAACTGAATGTCGCGCAAGGTCACCTTCTTCATGCGCTGCCGGAGCGGAAGTTGTCCTCGCAGACCACTACCCGGACCTCCCACGTTCGACTGAAAAAAAAAACATCTGTAGTTGAAATCTCATAACATATACAGAGTGGCCCAAAAGTCTGGAAACGGCTAATTATCTCGTAAAATGCTAATCATAATTGTACAAAATTTGAGGTACACCTATTTTGGGATACGGAGATTCCATATTTGATATTTACAATGTTGCCAGATTTGCCGTTTTTCTTATATTATTAGTAACTTTGGTTTTTCAAATACATCACCCTGTATATTCAGTCATTATTGGAATCTCCTATTCAACACGAGTTTCAACCATATGTAACACTTATGATTTTATGTAATCTGGAAGGTCATAAATACATAAAACCGAAGTCTGGCAACGCCTAAATTGTTTCAATAAATTTTTTAATACTAACTATTTTCAAATACATTAAAACGTAACAATTGATAGTTTAGAACATTTTTTAACATAGTAGTTACGTTATTAAGTGTTCAAAATGTGCTCAATTTGTGAGTTGACAGCACCCTAATCGATGGTAGAAGGCGTCTACCACATTTCTCCATGATTGTCTAGAAATTATTCGAGATTCATTGATAAATCGTTGCCTTAGCTCTGCAAGACTTGCTGGTTAAGTTTTGTAAACTGAATTTTTCAAGTATCCCTAATAAAAATAATCTTTAGGATTGAAATCGGATGAACGTAGGAGGCCATTCAATTCTACCTTGTCTACCAATTTATCGTCCAGGAAATATCTCATCTAAATATCGCCGAACATTTACACCAACTATCTGACGTTAAATTTCTTTCGACAAAAAATGACCCAATTGAATAAGTAACTACTATATCTGACCATACATTTAATTTTTGTGGTCTTTGAGTATGGTTTTCACGCATTCAGTCTTCAGTGTGAATTTACGTCACACCAGTACCTTAAATTGTGTCGATTTACACTTCCACACAGTGTAAAAGTTGCTTCATCGGAAAAACATATTCTGTTTCCCTGTCCCCTGCCTGGGGATATATGTGGATCTTCAACAAAACTTTGCTTATATCTGAAGTTTTGTTGTCATTGATAACTCGTTTCGGTCAACCTGATCGGTATCTATCTTTTACTTCTCCAGATTCCTCAAATCGCCTTACAGTTTTTTGTACCGTCGTCTTATGAATAGGAGAACGGTTTAGAGAACGGCATTTTAGAGAAGCAATTTAATCTGCAGAACTTTTTGAACCACAACTACTGTCAATTTTAGTTCATAATTTAAATGGTGAACAAATGTCAAAATCACAGCATTCTCCATTTAAATATTTAAATTTATTAAAATCTACATATTTTGCACTGTTTTATGTATTTAAAATCTTTCAGACTACATAAAATCAAGTGAACATATGGTTGAACTCGTATTGAATAGCTGAACTCGTGTGAAATTCACACTGAATGCGTGAAAACCATACTCAAAGACCACAAAAATCAAAAGTATGGTCAGTTATAGTAGGTACTTATTTAATTGGGCCATTTTTTATCGAAAGAAATTTAACGTCAGATAGTTGGTGTAAATGTTCGGCGTTATTTAGATGATATATTTCCCGGACGATAAATTGGTAGACAAGGTAGAATTGAATGGCCTCCACGTTCACCCGATCTCAATCCTAAAGATTATTTTTATTAGAGATACTTGAAAAATTCAGTTTACAAAACTTAACCAGCAAGTCTTGCATAGCTAAGGCAATGAATTATCGATGAATCTCGAATAATTTCTAGACAATCATGGAGAAATGTGGTAGACGCATTCTACCATCGATTAGAGTGCTGTCAACTCACAAATGGAGCACATTTTGAACACTTAATAACGTAACTATTATGTTAAAAAATATTCTAAACTATCAATTGTTACGTTTTAATGTATTAGAAAATAGTTAGTATTAAAAAATGTATTGAAACAATTTAGGCGTTGCCAGTCTTCTGTTTTATGTATTTAAGACCTTTCAGACTACATAAAATCATAAGTGTTACATATGGTTGAACTCGTATTTAATAGGAGATTCCAATAATGACTGAATATACAGGGTGATGCATTTGAAAAACCAAAGTTACTAGTAATATAAGAGAAACTGAAAATCTGGCAACATTGCAAATACCAAATATGGAATCTCCGTATCCCAAAATAGGCGTATCTCAAATTTTGTATAATTATGTCTAGTAATTTACGAGATAATTAGCCGTTTCCAGACTTTTGGGCCACTCTGTATAAACAATTAACATTTCTAGTAAAGATTTATTTTCAGGAAAGGATTTTTCCTCAAATTCTAAATACTGCTTTAGTTGTGCCTATACATAAAATCGTGACAAATCAAAATTTGATAACTATCGAGGCCTTCACTTTTATATATTAGCAAGCACAACTGTTTGGGAAAGTATGTGGTATTTATTTACATTTTTTACATCTAATATTTTTCTTTTACTCTACTATAATGTGATCTAATTCAATGGTGTATTTTAACGACTTTGTTAAAATATATTCCTTCCTGTTATTTCGTAAAATTGTTAAACTGGCTATCTCATTTATTATGTTTTAAGTAAGGAGAATTTGGCTTTCTTTTTTGTATTTTGTGTTACAAATATAGAAACTGATGCAAAGTATCCTATTACAATAAGAGTGATTTATTGGTATACCCTCTTGCTACCAACCGCTTCGAAGCGTGGCCATAAGGTGGTTTCTGACCTGTCGATCTCAAGACACACACACTTCATCACTAGGCAGCGAACGAAACGCACCAGTTTTATCGGTTCTCGTGCTATATAGCCTCGGCGTTCCCGGACGTCGTGACGCATCACGACCAACTCTACAGCCTGTTACGAATACATCAATATAACCAAGGGTGAGTCTATATGCTTTCTACAGACAACAGTAATGATTAAGACCAGTTAACTTCGTAATTTAATTCACAAATTGCAGATTGCACAATTGCAGAAATGATGTTTCCTTAATGAGTGGCTACATTTTTCGTTACAGAAATGATTTGGTGACCCCTGTTCGTCACGTGACCGTTGTGGGCAAGGGTCCTTACTCAACATGCGTTGGTTTGTATAAAAAATTACCTAATTATGTTAAAGAGTCAAATATTTAAGTATTTAAGAGAACAGTTAAGGACTTACTTCTGGTAAACACTTTCTATTCGTTAGAAGAATACTTGCAGGCATCTTTTTAACAATTTGTATGTTTTTGTGTATATTTTATATGTTTTTATGTTAACTGTTTTTATGTACTTATAGTTTTTACTGATCATGGATTGTATTTGACGCATTTCAATACTTGTAAAAGTCAGATGAAATAAAGAATATTGATTGATTGATTGTAACACATTTATAAACAATCGAGAATTGGAGAATCTTAAGATTAAAATAGGTTACTTACTTGGGTTGTATTGGCTAATTCACCGTCCATCCTCGGCTTTTTCCTCGGACCGATCGCCTGCAACGCCGTCGCGTTAGCCTCTCGCTGCCTCAACTCCTCCATCTCCACCCTCTGCATCTCTTTCGCCTTCGCCTTCAATTTAGCTTGTTCGGGGTCTTCGGTCCGCGACCGACTTTTCGCCGCCCTCATTAACACCTCCCGCTCCATCTCCTCGTGCCTCTTCCTTTCGGCTTTGTCAAGATCTTCGAGAAACTTTAATTGACCTAGAAATGGATTCGATATAATTATATAGAACTCACGAGTGTACAAATGAAGCCAATTAAAACGTCTGTCAAACTAATGTCAAATCTATCACAAATTGATAATTGAGGCCTATATGCCCTTCTTCCGGAGAATACAAAATGGAACTCTTTATGTCGTTCTTGGTCAGTCTACCAATTTTTTCTACGATATTACGGTTTTTTACGTTGGTACAACACTTTTTTAGTGTTGGTACAGCTGAGAAAGATTTGTGCCTCTAAATCAACTCTGTTTTGGTGAATTTCTGACAATGTGATTGAGGTTATGTTTTATTTTAAACTGCAAGTTAAAAGTGTATTTTAAAGCAATGGCTAGTCGTAAAGCTATTTTAGATAACGCGGTGTCAAAAGGTGGCAAAAAGTGGCAAGTGCCAAGAACCAGAGTGTACAGGAGTATGTGTCAAAATGTACGGGAAAAACTGTACAAAGTAAGGTATTTTCTGTTGTCCGTAAGTGTTGTGTAGAAAAATGTTTTGCCAAAAATAACTTTGCAAGATCAAAAGCGTTTATTTGACTCTTTTTATGATAATGGTTCAAAAAAAAGAACAAGACAGTCTTCTAAGGTTGTATGGCATTAGGTGAGCCACCAGAAAGGTATAGAAAAATAAAAAAAGTCCACAATTAGCAGACAATATCACTGGAAATACAAAATTAAAACTTCTGGTCATATTTTATTAAGGTGTTCTCTATTATTTTATCAATGGATCGGAAATGCTTGTTTCTCAAAATACACTTTTAGCAGATAGGCCCTTCTTCTAGATACCGCCTCAATTATCGTAAGAACTGTGACACATAGATGTGGGAACAAATTATCGGAGTAACTGTGACAAATAGAGATGGGAACAAATTCTCAGAGTAACTGTGACAAATAGAGGAGGGAACAAATTATCTTAGTAACTGTGACAGAGTTGGGAACAAATTATCGGAGTATCTGGGCAAAAAGAGGTGGAAACAAATTATCGGAACAGTTCCAAAATCCCAACAATTGAAATAGTGTACGGTGTTTTAACGTCAATAAGAATTGTGAGAAAATGGAACATTAAACAAATCACTAACCTAAAAAACTGATAAAAGTTCGATTTGATTTCTCATGCTTCGTTTTACGTCTACAGAAAGAAATAAAGGAAAAAAGAATGAGCCAGAAAGAGAGACAACATACGAGATATTCAAATATCTATTATAAATAGAGGAAGAAATAAAAGGACAACTATACCAAAAATACCCACTACATAAAAAAGGAAACCAGTTAGAATGTGAAAACTACCGTGGAATCACGCTGTTGAATGCGGCATACAAAATAATGTCCAACGTAATGTATGAAAGACTTAGACCATACGCTGAAAAAATAGTTGGCAAATACCAATGTGGCTTCTGTAGACAGAAGTCAACAATAGACCAGATATTTGTTCTTGCGACAGATCCTTGAAAAAACAAGTGAATATAACATCGACACACATCATCTCTTCATAGACTTCGAAAGCGCATATGACAATATAAACCGAGAATTCCTAACAAAAGCAATGAAAGAATTTAATATACCAACACAGCTAATAGAATTAATAAAAGAAACACTAAAAGTAGAAAGTAAAATCGGATACAAAACGAATTAACGGAAACAATAGATGTGAAGAAGGGACTACGCCAGGAAGACGCTCTATCATGCATATTATTCAACATCATACTTGAAAAAATAATAAGACCACAACAGTTAATACCCGGGAACAATAATTAATAAAAGCGTGCAAGTACTAGCATTTGCAGATGATGTTGACATAATCGCAAGATCAAGAAGAGAAATGATAGAGGCATTCACTCAAATAGAACGAGCTGCAAAAAATAGTGGTCTTAAAATCAATCAGACAAAAACAAAATATATGCCTGCAAATAAAAAACGCACAAAGAAGGCAGCTGCCAAATTTAACAATAGGAGAATACAACATTGAGGCGGTAAAAAACTTTACATACTTAGGATCCCTAGTTACGTCTGATAACAACGTTGCAGAGGAAGTGAAGAGGAGATATTTATTGCCAATAAATGTTACCATGGCTTAATTAGGCAACTAAGATCAGATAACGTCTCCAGAAAAACAAAATGCCAAATATACAAAACCTTAATAAGACCGGTACTCACATACGGTTCAGAAACCTGGACACTCTCTAAAAGGGAGGAAACGTTATTAGCCATCTTTGAAAGAAAAATCTTGCGACACATATATAAGGGCACAAAAGAAAACGGGATTTGGCGGAGAAGGTATAACTTGAACTATACAACATATACCAGGATCCGGATATCATAACATTCATTAAAATAGGAAGGCTACGTTGGATTGGACATGTGGAAAGAATGGAAGAAGGCGAAATACCAAACAAAATATTCAAACAAGTGCCAGTAGGAAAAAGAACAAGAGGAAGACCGAAGCTGAAATACGTTAGAACAAATAGAAAATGACATAATAACATTAAAAATTAAAAACTGGAAAAAAAAGCACGAAACAGGTCAGAATGGAGAAGAATCCTTGAACAGGCCAAGACCCAAAAAGGGTTGTCGAGCCAGTGATGATGATGATACCAAAAATATTTAAGCTCCAAATCATTACAAGAAGCAGAAGTACGAAGGAAAATCTTAGAAGAAGAACGAGTATTGGGAAAGAAACTGCCAACGAATAAATACTTATCTAGGAGGAACCAGAAGCACAGAAAGCTGGAAACTGATAAAAAAATTGAGAAAAGAAAAAATTAAAGAAGTAATATAGAGAGAGTAATGCAGATTGAGTCTTTGGTTACTCAGAAGTCTGGAAGTGGTTCTAGTTATACCAAATTTGTTGGCTCTAACGGTTTTTATTTGTCTGGTCTCGGCTCAGACAAATAAAAACCGAGACCAGTCAAATATAACAAATACAAAAGCATACCATAGAAAATGTTGAACATTATGTATATCTAGGTCATGTCATCAAACTAGGAAAACCAAATCAAGATGCTGAAATTAAAAGAAGAACACATCTGGCATGGGGCGCTTTCGGCAAATTAGCATATATCTTGAAAACACCTCCATTTCTGTAAACTTAAAGAAGAAGGTGTATAACACATGCATACTACCAGTTTGTACCTATGACTTGGAGACAGTAACCCTTACCAAAAAATCTGCTAAAAAATTAGAAACAACACAAAGAGCACTGGAACAAATAATGCTTGGAATATCACTGAGAGACAATATTAGAAACACCAAGATAAGACGTAGAACGAAGATCAGGGATATTGTGGAAGAAATTACAAAAATGAAATGGCGCTGGGCAGGTCACATAGCCCAAAGATATAATGACAACAAGTGAACATGAAGAATTCTAGAATGGAGACCAAGGACGACAACAAGAAGCATGGGAAGACCTCAAAAAAGATGGGTAGATAACATAAGAGCAGTGACAGGCAAACAGTGGATTAGACTGGCACAAGATAGAGAAAGATGGAAGCAATTGGGAGAGACCTACATTCAGGAGTGGATGGAAAATGGTTGACAAAGAGAGAGAGAGAGAGAGAGAGAGAGAGAGAGAGAACGGTTGTTATAATCGAGTTACAAGGTTTAACAATTCTGCTCATTTCTTTCTGGATCCATAACTTAAGGACCACCCTGTATATATTTTTTTGATATGTGTTAAACATCTGTCTCATTCAGAACCCAAACGACCCACTTACTAATCAAAAAGCAAAATCCAGCTATATTCATACATAGCAGAGGAGCGTATAAAAATAGAGGTGGGAACTAATTATTGGAACAGTTCCAAAATCCCAACAATTAAAATATTACAATGAAAATCCATAACTTGTAATAATTGAAATAATATTATTAAAAATTATTATTATTTTAAAATCATATACGTATGATGCATTATTATCATCACGTAATATATTTACGAGATTTTGGGTTTATGTCAGAGATACAAACATAGGTACTCACCTTTAATATCGTTCGTAATGTCGTACCGCGTATTCGTCTTGATATTATCCAACCTATGTTCAGAAATAACGGACAATTTTTCTATGAGATCTCTGAGCCTCTCTTGGGCCGCGTGCGATATACACGCCGCTACATCCGTGCCGGGTTCGTCCAAGCCGTGCTTGGCCATCGCCTGTCGTATCCGTTGTTGGAGGGGCGGCATCGAGCACATCACTTCTTCTTTACAAGACCTAATTTGGGTACCTACGAATTCGGTGGAGCCGAGGATCTTTTGCGTTTCCTCGGCGAGATTGACGCCGCCCATGGCGGCCACGTCGTTGATGTCGTCATCTCCGGTGTACGCCGAAGAGAACGTTTTCTTCTCTTTGTCTTTGGCTAACGGCTTGAGGTTAGAAGGCACTGCTGGTTTCGTCCCCTGCTGTTTGATGGCTCCGAGTTGCTTTTGGAGTGGGAGAGCCGGTCGGACTGGCATTTGCTGTCGTATTTGGCTGGGAGCTAGGGTTCGTACCTGTTTTAACACAAAGAAATACGTTCAACAATTGTTTGTTGCTAAATTAATTGGTAAAAAGTCTGTCTTAAAAATAGTAATGCAAAGGTTGGATTGGAGTGCACAAGAAGAGCCGTCAGTGAAAGTGGTCATAGAAAATATATGGTCTCAAGTAAAGGGTGAAGTCGGACGCAACAACAAAACTTTTAAATTAGAAGACTTACAACAATTATTAGAACATTCCTTATCAAAAGTAACTCCAGAAAATTGGAAAAATGCGGTTAGTCATGGTCACAAGGAAGAAAATAAAATGTGGAATTTGGATAATATGACTGATGCAATTCTGGAACCGGTAATAATTAATATTGGAGTTTAAGATTCCTTAGATTCTGAAGAAAGCAGTGAATCTGAAATGGAATTTGATTATATTAATATTCATTTTTTGACAAATCGACCCCTGTTACGGCCACAAATTATTTTATATACAGATTGAACGAAATAAATTCGGAACATAGGAATCTAATGTATTTCGGCTCAATTCTGCTGTAGGTGGTTGGCCAACAAAAGATTGTCAAATAATTATATTATAAAAATCCGATACTTCAGCGGGCTGCTGGATTCTGAACTCATAAAAATTGAAAGCTACACATAAATCTACGATTTTATTATGCTGTCAAACCAGTTATAGTCCAGGAAATGAAGTATTTCACCCCGCAATTTTTTCGTGCTGCGTGGATTAACTTAAATGTAACAGAAGGTAGGTAATAGCCTAAGGATCAAAATCTATATCGAACCAAAGTGCGCCAAAGCCTAGGGGATGGTTGCCACCCCATCTCCGGGGTGAAATTTTTTTTTACGTTTTAACTACAGGTTTCGATTAAAAAAGTGAATTCTAAACAAAAAATGTGCTATACATTTTTTTTATAAAATGATATTTTTCAAGTTATTCGCGATTGAAAGTAACAACTTTAAGACGAAAAAATCCATGTTTTTAATCGATTTTTCGCGAATAACTCGAAAATGGTGCATTTTAATCAAAAAAATTGTAGAAAACAAATTTGTAGCTTTTAAAAAGACAAATACAATTCACTTTTTAAAATGTTTTTGCGATATAATAGTAACCGAAAGACGGCCTATCAATGTTCAGCGGTTTTCTTCAAATGCCAAAATTTGAAAGATTCAAACGCAAATATCGGGAAAATGATGCATTTTTTGAAGAAAACTCACAAAACCTTTTTTAAAGAGCATAAATAGACCTATCATAAAAAAAGACTCTAGCTCAAAAATTGAGTGAGTTATGATGAAAATAAGGTCAATACCTCATTTTTTACGAAAAAATCGATGAAAACAACCCCCTAACCACGCCCATAATTAAAATCGATCTTCACCCTTCTGCAATTTCCTTTGTACATGTATTGTTAATACGTCCAAGACGTTTGACCCATTTAAAATGCTTAGTTTTAGAAAAAGTACAGCTTAAAGCGAGAGACGATTTACAATTTCATATTTTTTACCCTTCTTTTTTTAAATATGACCGAAAATACTGAATATATGAAAAAAATAAAAATTACCAAATTGTAGCTTTTTAAATGACTAAAATTATCCTTTATTTAGATTTGTTGTACAATGAATATTTGGCGAGATATAGCCGTTTAAAGCATCGATTTACGATCAAGCACCATCTTTTTCGAGCCCTTTAAACTCACCCCATTTAAAAACCAAGGGTTCCAAAAAGATTTAATTCACAGATCCTTGTAGCTCTTAAAAACCTCTACAAATCGTTTTTGAAGAAACACTCTATCGTTAAAAATTAAAGGAAATACATTAAAAAAAACAGTTAATTTTTTTCCGGAAAATTCCATTAGTATAGTACAGTACATTTCGGAGCATAATAATTTATAAAACCGGTATATTAGCTAGTGGGGCGTTATACATTCGAAATTTTAAGCGTTCTTATTTTGAAATCCCATACAACAGAATAAAACATCTGCTCATATGTCTATGGCTTGACAATGAAAATATCAGAGCAACAGATTAGGGATGGTATTCCAAAAATGGTTTGTTATTACCCGTACGCATGAACAAACAACCTGCACCCGATGAACTTTTGAAAATTTTTTTTTGCCAATGCAAAAAAGGATGCGGCGTTTCATGTGGGTGCAGAAAAGTTGGTTTATACTGTAACTCTACTTGTTCTGGGTGCTCAGGTGAAGGGTGCAATAACAGTCCACCAATTATTGAAGAAGATTAGGATGACATAGATCACGATGAAGATGTAATTGATGACGAATAAAATTAATATTATAATTGTTTTACCTATAAATGTAAATATTTTCAACTATTTATGTAAATGTATAAGAATATATCGGTGCCTTTTTATGTTGATAAATTTTTTGTATTTAATTCTACTTTTGTCAATTTATATCTTATAAATTAGTTTATAAAAACTGCAATGTAAAGGGTGATTTTCAAAAGTTGAAAAGTTGCAAAATTTTGGCAAAAAATTGTTTTCACCTATAGCACTCATAACAATTGATTTTTAAGGGTTGAAAATGTATGAATTCGTATTTTAAAGTATAAAAAAATCACTATTTAACTAATCCAAACCAAATTTCACTCATCTTAAGATTTGTAATATTATTTTACAATTTTTTAAAATTAGGTGTAGTTTTCACCCCTAAGAACAATCAGGGTTTATCGGCATGACATAAACTATAAAGCAGAGGGTGAGTTGAGCTTAATTCCAAATTTTTATGCTAATCGTTCCAAGAAATCATTTTCTTCGCATTACTAATTTTTTTATATTAATCTCTAATAAGGGTAGCTTTTTAAGGGTTGAAATATGATGGAACTTTATTCAAAAGCACGAAACTATCATTATTTAATTAATTCAAACCAAATTTTACCCATATTCAGGTTTAATATGTTATTTTATAATTTTTGACAATTAGGGGTAGGTTTTCACCCCTAAGAACAATCAGGGTTTGTCGACATGACATAAACTATAAAGCAGCGGGTGAATTGAGCTTAACTCCAAATTTTTATCCAAATCGATCGAAGGCGAAATCATTTTTTTAGAATTAGTAATTTTTTTACATTAATCTCTAACAAGGGTTGCTTTTTAAGGGTTTGAAATATGATGGAACTCTATTCAAAAGTATAAAATAATCATTATTTAACTAATTCAAACCAAATCTTACCCATATTCAGGTTTAATATGTTATTTTATAATTTTTGACAATTAGGGGTAGTTTTCACCCTAAAACCCTTCAGCGCACTTCGGTTCGATATAGATTTTGATCCTTGGGCCATCACCTACCTTCTGTTAAAATTTCAACTGGATACATGCAGGACGAAAAAAATTGCGATGTTTTAACTTTTTTCGAGCTTCATTTCCTGAACTATTATCGCTTCCTTAGACAAACTCGTCTTACGCAAACAACTTTGTTGCGAGACAGATAGTTGAACGATATTTTATACAATGTCTATACCCAGGTATGGATTTATTTTTGTCCAAGTTTTATATTGGTCCACTATTTCAAATGCAGTTCAAACAGACATGTATTAAATTGTATGTTCCGTTTTAATTTGGTTCAATCTGTATAACCAATAAAATAAACATCTTACATTTCTTGCAAATTCATTAGTACCTGTTAATCTCCATCACTCTGACACTGGCAACTTTATTTAGGGATTAGTAACCTCAAAACTATGTGCGTCAATCTTTATACCTGGTGGTCATACTCAATTTAAAATTGTTTCCCTATATACTTCTGTAAACTTGTTGACAAATATCTATTTTTCATTGAGTCATCCGTATCAACAGTTTAGGGACTTGCATAAATAATGTGCCATCAATATGATGGAAATGGACTATAAATTATAATAACAAAATGTTTACTCACTTGCACAGGTTGTCTAATCAATCCAGCTCTGACTTGCTGTCCATTAGGATAGACAGGATGTAAGGCCGGCGGCTGTGACGAAGACACTATCACATTATTTGCTATCGGTTGTCGAATGGACGTGACCATCCTGGTTTGTTGTGCGGGCGCCCTGATCGGAGTCACCAGACGCTGTTGGATGACTTGGCCGGGCCGCACCACCGTAGTACCCGGGGTAACTATCCTTACTTGGTTGGCTTGTATGCCGGTCGGCCTGATGGTTTGCACCGTAGGGGTGGCCCCCGCTAGCGAGAACACCACGTTCGGCGGCGGAGGCCGGATGCCGTCTATACTAAGTTCTGCGTGGCTAGAGAATGCCGCAGAAGGGGCAAACTTTTCTAAAAGACAAAAAATTATCTTAGATATTTCACTTAGACAATCTTGACAGAAATAACTAAATGCCAAAGTAATATGTACAAAAATAAAATGTGTACGTGTCATCGCTATAAGACAAATTTTTGCGATGTTTGCATAGTTTATATTATTATTTTTTTAATAAACTGTCTAAAATTGCCTAAATTTTATTTTCAAAACAAAAATTTTGTACCAAACTGAAACAAATTATCTACGCCTTGTTTTTGATGTTTTCCTTACCTTCAGAAATCCTATGAGGCACGGTTGTGGGGAAGCATTCAATAATCGTTCTAATTTGTCACAGAAATCTTCGGGTTCCACCTTGTTGTCGATGAGTTCTTGGATAAGCTGTCGGACGTTTCTTTCTACAGATTTAGGTTCTCGACTGGATAGTTCTAACAAATTGGCGAGGAATTTTCTACATTTTTCTTTGGTATTGTCATTTGCAGGTCGCTGAAATCATTGAAATGAAGATATATTTAAACATTCCGAAAGTATAAAGTATGTGGAATGCTGATTTTAAACGAAATAATACAGATATCATTGTGGCATGTTAATTTCTCTTGAATTTCTTGAATTTAAAACTTTTAACCAGACTGTATTTGAGGAGTTTACTGTAAGATGGATGCAGCTTCATATTTAGACCGTTTTATGTGGAAACATATGCCATAATTAAAAAAAAATTGGCGGATTGACTGATATAAGAACGTATCTCTTTAAAAAAAAAAACATACACATGGAGCCCACAGAAGAATTCCCAGTTGTTCCTGTAACCAAAAATAGAAAAAGTGCCAAAAAACTCCACTCTCTGGAAAAGAAATATGAAAAAAAAAAGCTATTGCAGAAGGGAAAATGTATACGAACTGCAGGTAACAAGTGTTTTCAGAATGTGGACGAAGAAACAAGAAAAGTCTTTCAAAAGTTTAACAAAATAGGCGACAAAGATTTGCAAAATACCTATTTAGGAGGGTTGATTCAAACTACTACTATTCAAAGAACTCGAAAAAAAACTAATGAAAGGCAAGACCGCACTTGTCCCACAAATACTTTATAAAGACTGAAAAGCTATCCAAACGAGTTTGTAGACATGCTTTTGGTTCAATCCACGGCATATCGAGAAAACGTGTAGATCTCATTGCTCAAACTTTTCGTGACAGATATATTGCAGCGCCACCTAGTAACAAAGGTAAGCATACAAATAGACTCAACCGAAAATCGAACGAAACATTCAAAAATGTGATCATGCACATCCAGATTTCCAAGGCGTGAATCGCATTATAGTAGAAACAAATCCCGTCGATTCTATTTATCTCCAGATCTAAATGTAAAGAAGATGCATTAACTCTATTTGGAACTTTACGAACCAGAAAGTGTTAGAAATGCTAAATATAAGCCCAAAGATCCTATTACTTATACTATCGATACTTCAAAGAAAACTTTAACAGGTTTGGCTCACCTCGATCAGATATGTGCAAATAATGTGATGTCTTAGATAACAAACTCAAAGATGTGATCCTCAACGAAAATGAACAAAAAGCTTTAGCAGCGGAAAAAAAAGTTGCATGAAATTAAGGCCGATTTGTTTTTCAAGGAGCTGAAGGAGTAAACCTTGTGCAAGCATAGCGACAAAGTGGAGATTCTGACCTTAGACTACCAACAAAACCTTCCACTTCCAAAAATTCCTGCTGGAAAAGCTTTCTACAAACGCTAGTTGTGAACATACAACTTCTGCGTCCATTCGGGTAAGACAAATCAAGCACACTTTTATATGTATCATGAAACTATGGCTCGAAAGTCACCAAACGAGCTATATAATGAATACCTATAACGTATGTACTTAAAGTTCCCTATTCGTAATAAGTTCCCTTCAATGATGATATAACCAAGTTCCACTTGAGAACTTCATCATCATCCAGCCTCTATTTATCACGTCCACTGCTGGACATAGGCCTCCCTTAAACTCCATTCCTCACGATTTTGTGCTCTTTGTTGCCAATTTTTAGTGATACGCCTGATGTCGTCGGCCCAACGTGTAGGTGGTCTTCCTCTACTGCGTTTGTCTGCTCTGCTCTTGGTCTCCAATTGTAAAATTTTAATTACACATAAAAAGAACTTAATTGACGTTAAACCACACGGCAATCAAGGGTGACACAACAATATGATAAAATTTTTAGGAAAATCTAACAGTCG